ATTACGACTTAATTGCAGTTAAGCTTCACTAACTTCAAGTGCAAAATATCGGGTATTATTAACCCAATGTTTATAAAAAGTTCATATATAAAATAAAACTCTGTGTGTTTCGGCCATCATCAGGAATTAATGATCAAAATGTTATGTAAGTTAAACTTCACTGCTGATGATGGCTTACACTTTAGTAAGTTTAGGATGAAGCCCGGATTTCATAATTGTATCCTTCAGATAAACAAGATACAGATAGATACTATAATGCTCAGCTATGGGTTTATAAATGGGTTAATTACTTTGCTAGGTTTAAAATAGCTGTATTTCACAATCATGAACCACAATAGTGGTTCATAATAGGGATCGCAAGAAATTGCACAAAACCCTAATAGAGCGTTAAGGCTGTACACATATAAAAATCACAAAAGAACACGCATGTTAGACTTACAAGGAAAAGAAAATCCATTCAAAATGGTCCGTTTGTAATTCTTGTTATTATTCTTATTCTCTTGCCAGCCTTAAACAAAAACGGCTTGGTATATTGCACCCGAACCTTTTGTAGAATACTAAATAAGGAACTGCGAAAGTTGTAGGAGTAGTGAAAAGTTTCAATTATATTTTGCACAAACTAAAAACATCATAATTCTTGCGTAAATAATGTTATAATTACCCCTTAAAGTTAGCTCTTTTGCAAATATCTGATGTTCCTTAAAAAAGCTTAAGTACAGGGTGAAACAAGAATTACCAGACCATAATAGATGAATATTAGATGACTGTAACATGTAGATACTTAATGCTTTGTACATTATATAGCCGGTGTCTTTAGGGAGCCAACCCCTATATTATGTATGAAGTGAAGGAGTGAAAAAAGCAATACACATAGTATTAAATTTATTACACTCATTTGCAGAATAATTACTTTGAAAGACACGAAAGTTTGTTTAAAGTGATGTTTTAGATGCATGTTTTATTTTAAAAGATTGTTTCTACAGGTAAAATTTTATACGTGCTTAGTGGGAGTTGTGTCTTAGCCTAGTCATATATTTGCCCATTGCTATGCTTTATATGTAAAGAATTTAGTTACACAAAAACTATAAATACTCACTATATTTTCATACAAATCTTCATGACAATCTCCAGCTGCAGCTTAACATTTTACATCTCGAACTAATGCGATCAAATAGTCAATAGCTACACTAAATCATCGTGAACCGTATCAGCTAACAACTACCTTTGTTTATTACCATTACAATGTATAAATTTAGTTTGTTACCATATCAAATAATCCTTTGCCCATAGTTGAACATAAAAAAAATTCAGCAAACAAGATAAATAAAAAAACTGGGAATTTAAATACCTGCAAACAGGAATTGTAAACAAAGTAAGAAAACAAGGCTGGAGATTCTATAGACATTATTTAGTCAAACTACAAGTCCCTATTTTGACTCCACCAAATGTAATTCCATGTAACAGCATGGAGCCAAAATAAGGGTTTGTAGTTTGACTAAATAATATCTACAATATCTCCAGCCTTGTTTGCTCACTTTTTTACGATCCATATTTGCAGGTTTTTAAATTCTCATTTCTTTTATTTATCTTGTTACTAATAAAATCATTACGTGAATTCATAATTTGAATAATTTAAAGGAAGTTTGCAGAAATTGCCTTACTAGAATTTTTTCTTAGCACATTGTGAAGTAATATACTTGGTTTGTTTTGTTTCAGACATTCGAACAAAACTACATAAAGGCTATCTAGTGGCGCTAACCGTTCATAGTTTTGAACTGATAGATTAGAGCAGGGGTCACCAAACTTTTTTC